CAGCCGTAGCAGCCATTTGGGGGGTGAACCAACGGAAGAAAGACCTTTCTCTCTGTCTCTCTCACACTGTCTAACTCTATCTGTCAAATAAAAAAAAGAAGTTCTTTAAAAAAAAAAGCCACCTATGCTAAAACCAGAGAAGGATTATTTACCTTTAAATCTGTTACTTTAAGGGGCTGGGCAGGGGCCGGCACTGTGGCTTAGTAGGTTAAGCCTCTGCTGGTGGTGCCAGCATCCCAAATGGGTGCCCATTTGAGTCCCAGCTGTTCCACTTCCAATCCAGCCCTCAGCTAATGGCCTGGGAAAACAGTGGAAGATGGCCCAAGTATTTGGGCCCTTGCATCCATATGAAGCTCCAGAAGCTCTTGGCTTTGTTTCAGCCCAGCTTTGGCTGTTGTGGCCATTTGGAGAGTGAACTAGTGGATGGAAGACCTCTCTGTTTATCCCTCTCTCTGTAACTCTAACTCTCAAATAAATAAATAAATCTTTAAAAAAAAAAAAAAAAAAGGCTAGGGGGCCGGCGCTGTGGTGCAGCGGGTTAAAGCTCTGGCCTGAAACGCCGGTATCCCATATGGGCACTGGCTTCTAGTCCCGGCTGCTCCTCTTCAGTCTAGCTCTCTGCTGTGGCCTAGGAAAGCAGTAGAAGATGGTCCAAGTCCTTGGGCCCCTGCATCCATGTGGGAGGCCCAAAAGAAGCTCCTGGCTTCAGATTGGTGCAGCTCCGGCCGTTGCGGCTATCTAGGGAGTGAACCAGCAAAGGGAAGACCTCTCTCTGTGTCTCTGCCTCTCTCTGTAACTCTGTCTTTCAAATAAATAAAATAAATATATTTTTTTAAAGTCAGTATTCAAGTGAGAAACCTTCTGGTTTTATTGAAATGTTTATGGGTGTTTATATTAATAGAAGACATGTCATCAAAAAGGGGAATACTGAATTTGGGGATATAAAAAAGGTGAGTTAGAGAGGCAAGATTGTGTCTCAAAACAAAACTTCACAGATGAAAAGATAACCTGTACTAAGGACTGAATTATCAGGCCCTCAACCTTGCCTGGCCCTTCTGTGAAGAGGGATTCAACAGCTATCCCAGCCTGAAAACACTCCCTGTGTTAGGATTCCATGGTCCCCAATTACTCTTCTAATTTTGATTGATCTACCCTGTATACTATTTTTCAGGGAGAGAATGCACTTGTCAGGCAATTTTAAACATTTAGTCTTAATGTGTATACTCATTTGGCATTCTTATCTGTATTATTCACCTCTTTAAGTTGCCTTCATTGAGCCTTGTCTGCTGTGGAATATCGCATGATTGAGTTTGTAGATTGGGAAGATTGAAGGCCATGTGTTTGTTAAAGTCACCACAGGAACTTCTTGGTAAATTTTCAGTTGACTTTCCCCTCTGCCAGTTAAATCCTCCCTCCCTCCCTCTCTCTCTCTCTCTCTCTCTCTCTCTCTCTCTCTCTCTCTCTCTCTAAGATTGAGGACTTTATTCTTTTTTTTTTTTTTTAAGATTTTATTTATTTATTTGGTAGAATTAGAGACAGAGGGAGAGACCGAGAGAAGGGTCTTCTATCCACTGATTCGCTCCCCAAATGGCCGCAAAAGCCTGAGCTGAGCTGATCTGAAGCCCGGAACCAGGAGCTTTTCCAGGTCTCTCATGCAGGTGCAGGGGCCCAAGCACTTCGGGCCATCTTCTACTGCTTTCCCAGGCTGTAGCAGAGGGCTGGATCAGAAAAGGAGCAGCTGTGACATGAACTGGCGTCCATATGGGCACTGCAGGCAGAAGCTTAGCCAACTATGTCACAGCACCATCCCCAAAACCCTTCACATTCAACAAGTATCGTCATTATATTTGAGCATTTTCTTTTTTTAAAAAAATATTTTTATTTTTATTTATTTGAGAGGTAGATTTACAGAGAGAGAGAGGAAGAAACAGAGAAACGTCTTCCATCCATTGATTCACTCCCTAAATGACCGCAGTGGCCAGAGCTGAGCCGATCCGAAGCCAGGAGCCAGGAGCTTCCTCTGGGTCTTCCACATGGGTGCAGGTGCCCAAGGACTTGGGCTATCTTCCACTGCCTTCCCAGGCCATAGCAGAGAGTTGGACTGGAAGTGGAGTAGCCGGGACCCAAACTGGCGTCCATATGGGATGCCAGCGCCGCAGGCAGAGGATTAACCCGAGCATTTTCTTAGTTTCTTCACTGTAGTCATCTAAAGATGAAAATAGACTGAGCCCTGAATCTTTTTTTTTTTTTAAGATTTATTTATTTATTTGAAATTCAGAGTTACACAGAGAAAGGAGAGGCAGAGACAGAGAGAGAGAGAGGTCTTCCATCCGATGGTTTACACCCCAGTTGGCCGCAATGGCCGGAGCTGGGCAGATCTGAAGCCAGGAGCCAGGAGCTTCTTCCCGGTCTCCCACGTGGGTGCAGGGGTCCAAGGACTTGGGCCATCTTCTACTGCTTTCCCATGCCATGGCAGAAAGCTGGATCGGAAGAGGAGCAGCCAGGACTAGAACTGGCGCCCATGTGGGATTCACTCCCCAGCTGACAGCAATGGCTGAACTGATCTGAAGCCAGGAGCCAGGAGCTTCCTCCAGGTCTCCCATGTGAGTGCAGGGGCCCAAGTAGTTGGGCCATCTTTTTTTTTTTTTTTTTTCCTTGGACAGGCAGAGTAGACAGACAGAGAGAAAGGTCTTCCTTTGCCGTTGGTTCACCCTCCAATGGCCGCTGCGGCCAGCGCACTGCGCTGATCCAATGGCAGGAGCCAGGTACTTCTCCTGGTCTCCCATGGGGTACAGGGCCCAAGCACTTGGGCCAGCCTCCACTGCACTCCTGGGCCACAGCAGAGAGCTGGCCTGGAAGAGGGGCAACCGGGACAGAATCTGGTGCCCCAACCGGGACTAGAACCCAGTGTGCCAGCGCCGCAAGGTGGAGGATTAGCCTAGTGAGCCGCGGCACCGGCTTGGGCCATCTTCTACTACTTTCCCAGGCCATAGCAGAGAGCTGGATCGGAATAGGAGCAGTCGGGACATGAACCGGCGGCGCCCATATGGGGCTTTAACCCACTGCATCACAGAGCCGGCCCCCAAGCCCTGCATCTTTAAAATGATATTTAAGAACCTGCAAGAGGGGAGTTGGTGATGTCACTTTAGGATCCTAGTGCTTCTAAGCTGTCTCATCTTTCTTCAGAGAAGTAGGTGACTGGATAAAAAGAACTGTATTATAATTTTCCTCTTTACCAAATGAAACGGCCCAAACTAAAAGATAGATTGATGTAGACCACTTGAGAAGGTTTTAAAATAAGAGATGAGGAATTGTGGAAGAGGCAGAGTTCAGAATATATATCTGAGATAGAATCATTTGAACTTGGTGACAAATGATATGTTTGAATTGAGGGAAAGACTGAATAAACTCCCAGTGCCTCTGAATTGTTGGTAGTACAACATTAAGCAAATTAGGTAAGAGAGAAGTAGAAACAGATTTATATACACTGGGTTTCACTGTGCCTTATCTACTGTATAGATGAGTTGAAAAGATACTTAGCAGCACATGTAAGAAGCTGTCTCACTTTGGTAAGCTCTCTTAATTTCCACACAACCTTGAAAGATTAGTTGTATTTTCCCAGTTTTTTGCAATGAAAAAACTTAAGGTCAGAAAAATGTCAGTTGCCTAAGGTCACTTAATCCCATGAATTTTTCCAAACTGTTTCCCTTACCAGTCCTTAATTTTTTTGACTTAAAGCAATGATTTATTTTTTTCATTGTTTTATAAGTTGATTGAGCTCAGCTAGAAAGTTTAATTTGAGGCTGGCGCCGCGACTCACTAGGCTAATCCTCCGCCTTGCGGCGCCGGCACACCGGGTTCTAATCCCGGTCAGGGCGCCGGATTCTGTCCCGGTTGCCCCTCTTCCAGGCCAGCTCTCTGCTGTGGCCTGGGAAGGCAGTGGAGGATGGCCCAAGTACTTGGGCCCTGCAACCCCATGGGAAGACCAGGATAAGTACCTGGCTCCTGCCCTTCAGAATCAGCGTGGTGCGCCGGCCCACAGCGCAACCAGCCCGTGGCGGCCCATTGGAGGGGGAACCAAACGGCAAAAAAGGAAGACCTTTCTCTCTGTCTCTCTCTCACTGTCCACTCTGCCTGTCAAAAAAAAAAAAAAAAAGTTTAATTTGATTGCAGTTGGATGACAGCTGGAACTAGAGTTCCTGAAATTTTCTTCCAAAGGTTCAACTAGGCTGTATTTCTATGATGGCTTCTTTATTCCTTTGCCTGGCATCTCAACTATAATGACTAGAAGTGCTGGAGGCTGACACATCACTCTCCCTGTAAGGTCTCATCACCTTTCTCACTCAAGCGCACAGCAGTCTTGGACATGTTCCACACTGGCTTACCCCCAGTGTAGTTGTGCAGTACAGCCAGGTAGCAACTGCAAGGAATCTGAAAATCTGGCCTCTGAAGTCATGCATTGTCATTTCTGCTGCATTCTGTGATTAAAAGTAAGTCACTGGGCAAGGATAGATTCAGAAGGAGGGAACTACATATGTGGGGGGAATTGAAAAAGCTTAAGGAAAATTTGTCTTCCATTTTCCATGAACATTTTGACTCCCTCTTACATATACCTAGTTGATATCTAAAATTTCAGTTAAACCTTCATTGACTTAATCCAGTGTGAAACATTTATATACCTTGAGTCATTTGTGAATTATTATAATTGTATTTGGGTACTGTACTGAGAGTAGGTCTCCATAGTAGTATAAAGAATGTAATACTTCTGTGTTCCTACAGAGGAAGTAGGAAGGTGAAAGGTCTATGTAGAATAACTAGGGTAGGAAAGGTGAGCCCAATAGCATACTTGTGCTTATGTTGCTGAAAATACACTAATGTTCCTTTGGTTTCAAGAAGTTAGAAAATGTCACGTGTTGAATTATACCATAGAAGAAGGGTAAAAAGGTGAATTTTTTTTTTGGTCTATAATTGATAATTCACTGATGTTTTCTTTATTTCAGAGCACAAAGTTATAATTGTTGGGCTGGATAATGCTGGGAAAACTACCATCCTTTACCAATTGTAAGTATTAACTAGCTTAAAATTTTTATTCCAATGTTTGTGGTTACTTTTTCTGGCTGGGTGACACTTGATCAATGAAAATAATAAAAAATTATATGAAGTCTAAGCTATTCTGTGAGAAAGTAGATTAGCTGTAAACTAGGAACCAAATTTAAGAAACAGTTTATAAAGAGAAATTTCTATACATGGACACGTCCAATTGTTTTGCACTAAATCTTCTTTTCTTTTAGAAAGTAGAAAAATACTTCTTTATATAGTTTCCTAGAATATTCCAGATAAACTAATGCCAAGTTCCAACTCTGTTTAAACCCTGGGCTTGCTTGTGTTTTGACCTAGGGGAAAAAGGGCATTTGGGTATACAATATAAAAGGTCATGCTGATTTTTTTTCCTTGATTAAAAAATTGTTCAAACAGGCTAAGTTGCTCACTAATTGTAATATATGAACTTTTTCCTCCTAGTTCTATGAATGAAGTTGTACACACATCCCCTACAATAGGAAGTAATGTAGAAGAGATAGTGATTAATAATACACGTTTCCTAATGTGGGATATTGGTGGCCAAGAATCTCTTCGTTCTTCCTGGAACACTTACTATACTAACACAGAGGTAATGTTTCTTAATATATTAAAAACTTTTATCACTAGAATGTTTGAAAAACAACTAGATATAACTCTTACAGTTAATTTTGTGGAATATCACAGTGTGTTAATATAAGTAGAGTTTAAGCATAGTAGAATCTTTGCTTTCCTATTTCAGGGTCATTGTTCTGTATATTGGCCAGCACTGAACCTCTGTAGGGAGAATTGGTGGCTCATGAGTCTGTGCATTGATCCCAGAACTTGTCTTCAGTAGTTGTTTTTATACTAATGTATACTGCAGAGTTTGTAGTTTATTTCTCTCTTGATATTATGAGAGAACTCTGGTGGCTTGAATCCTGGCCAGAGCTTTCATATAAATTTTCTTTTATGCAACACAGTTCCACTTTAAAGAATTCTTTTTATTTTGATTGTTAAGCACTGTAGACATATTCATGTTTTTATTTATATGTTACTATCCCAGAGAAAAGTTTGTACCTATGACACTTGACTGCTTTATTGTATAGACTTGTAGATTGAAAGATTATGACAATTGTATTTTGCAATGCTGATTATAAGTTAATATTCTCTAAACACATATAAAACTGACTTTTAAGTCATGAAGACCTTATTCAGGTCTCTAATGACCCAATTCCTTAACATTCCATTGAGCATTTAGTCATGTGTTTTGGAGAAGGAAACTATGTGTGGTTATAGATGTGTGAAATACCCCTCTAGGTATAGATTTGTGCCTGGCAATTATGGTGGCTGATTTGGAAATTAAAATTCAGTTCTAAAAAATAAATAGTGCATATTAGTAATGGGCAGTCAGAATTGGGCACCATAGAGTAAGTTAACTCTGTATTTGCCCGTTTCCGTCTTTTTTCACTTACGGGGTTGAAACAGAAGTACCATGGAGTTCAATCCGATGTGAGAGCCAGTGTAAGGCTTTCATTGTACCCTCTGAGACCAGTTTCTCCAGCAGTTCAGGGAAGAATTGTGCTTTTGGCAGATAGCAGGTGCCATTTATATAAGGAAGACAGTATGTTTTATTTACAGAGCTGTTCTTTCAGTTTGTTGATATAAAAATACTGATTTGTTAAATGTCACCTTACTCCCATACACATGCCCTTTTTACATTTTCAAATTGATATTTATAAATATCTGTCAGGAAGTAAATTTTGCACCATAATGAATATTTTTTCCTATTAATTTATAGTACAAATAGATAGACATAGGGCCATTAGCATTCAAGATACTAATTTGGAAAATAAATGAGTTGTTTTGTGTTGAATGTTAGCATAATCTCATTTGTCTTGTTTTCTTTTAATATATTTGAATTTAGGCTTCCTGTTGCATAGTAGGCATCTGGTTTTCCATAAAAACTGTATGATTTAAATTTCTTGATATTACCAGCCTGTAAATCAAATAAGCACTTTATAAAATTTACAAATACCAAATATTTAATCACTAATTTTTTTTAATGATTATTTTAGTTTGTAATAGTTGTTGTGGACAGTACAGACAGAGAGAGGATTTCTGTAACTAGAGAAGAACTCTATAAAATGTTAGCACATGAGGTAAGTAGTCTTTTTACATTACAAATGGGGGGTTATTTGTATCACATTTATCATTTATTCCTTCTCATTTTTCATGATGGTGCTATCTTTCAAATTTATAAAATTTTTTATCTACTGGCTATGCCTCCTTTATTCTTTTGATACTTCCAACATTGGAAGTTTGTGTAGAAGCAGCAAAAAGATTGTAGAGTCAGTTATACAACTTTATGTAATTTATGCTAGATTAATTTAATTTAAAAGTTTTACTGGCCAAAATAATTCTTAAAAGTAACGTTCATTTTGCATTTTGAGTAGATTAATTGTACAGAAGATTATCATTTGAAATGAGATCTTTTTTTAAGTACTGGGTATATAGTAGCTCTTTGATTATTAACTAAGTTTGAAAAACTAATATTTAAATGTTAGTTGCTTTGAAGTTTATTTTTTTAAAGATTTATTTATTTATTTATTTGAAAGAGTTATAGAGAGAGAGGAGAGGCAGAGAGAGAAAGAGAGAGAGAGGTCTTACATCTGCTGGTTCACTCCCCAGATGGCTGCGACGGCCGAAGCTGCGCTAGTCTGAAGCCAGGAGCCAGGAGCTTCTTTTGGGTCTCCCACGCGGATGCAGGGACCCAAGGACTTGGGCAGTCTTCTGCTTTCCCAGGTCATAGCAGAGAGTAGATTGGAAATGGAGCAGCTGGGTCTTAAACCATGCCCATATGGGATGCCGGCACTACAGGCCAGGGTGTTAACCTGCAGTGCCATAGCACCAGCCCCAACTTTGGAGTTTATTTGATTATGTCCTTTTGACTAGGCAAAATTGCATGACTAGCCACATTCCCTTAGTCCTTGAAAAATATTTCTAATAACATAAGTTTAAAAATGAAGCAAACAATAATATAGTCAACTTAGGTATAATAGATACTATAAAGTCATACAATATTTACTACCATGGCAATTGACTGTTTTTGAATGCCTTTTATTACAGGTGCTACTTTCTCAACTCACTTATAGGTAGGAATAGAAAAATTAATATTTATACATTTTTTCATTTTAGTGGCCTTTCTGTAAAGCTTAAGAAATTGGGATATATTTGTAATGAAGTTTATGTTACTTTTAATATAGATTTAATGATTTGCTTTTGAGATTTGCTTAAAGAATTTTAATGTTTCAGGCAACCTTTCAAGACTTTCAGAAACCTATCTACCACAGAAAGGTGCACCTTCTCTGATTTTGAGCTTCAGTTATTGCAGCTGTGATAAATATCTTCTTTTTTTTTTTTTAATATATCTTGCCATTGTACATTCATTTACCAAGTCTATGTCTATGTTGGGATATAAGCAAAAAGCTGTTAAAGAGGCATATTAAGGATTCTTGTCTCTTTTCAACTTTGTAATGAACAGATAATTCCAGTGGCTCATTTTATGAATACTTTGGGACAAGAGAAATAGATGTACCTGTTAGCACCTGTTATTTTTCCCTTGACTGTACTTTTTTTTTTTTTTTTAAAGACACTGTTAACAGGTAGCTTTTCTGTTTGATTTTTACTTAATCAGTCAATATGTAGCAGGATCAGTATGAAGATCCCACTCGTGGAGATCAGAGTATTTGGATTTTGCTATTTGGGGCATTAACTTGGGCAGATCACTTAGCTTCATCTGTTGCAGATGAATACACTGAGACCAGAAAGTTGATGTGACATGTGTTTAAGGGGATTTGAACTTGGGTCTTCTTATTTCTTTAGGCTCTTTGCTAGGGAGAGGGAAAAAGAGAAAGTCATAAATAAGGGCTAGCTGGAAAGTGAGAAGAGCCAGAGAAAGGAAACTACCAGAAAAGAAAGGAATTACAAATACACTGGGGAGCTAAAGTGAGCTAAACTGAGTGTAGGGATAACAAAAGCCAAATGGAGAGTTCTGGAGAGAGACAGTGGATCAAAGAATAAGAATGTTAGGGAGCCTGTCCCATTGCTGAATCACTCACCGATGTTAGGGAAGAAAAAATCAATTTAGACATGGGATTTGTTGGGTATTTTGTGCATACTACATTATTATCACTGATACTGATTCTTTACAAAACTGTACAAAGTTTAAAATACTCTCAAAGCTTTGTATTTTTAAAAAATTTTAAATACAACTAAATGAAGTTTAAAACTTGGAACTAAGGGCTGGCGCTATGGAATAGTGGGTGAAGCCGCTGCTTGCAGTGCCGCCATCTCATATGGGCACTGGTTCGAGTCCTGGCTGCTCCGCTTCCCATCCAGCTCTCTGCTATGGCCTGGGAAAGCAGTAGAAGATGGCCCAAGTCCTTGGGCCCCTGCACCCATGTGGGAGGCCCAGAAGAAGCTCCTGGCTCCTGACTTTGAATTGGCACAGCTCCGGCCATTGTGGCCGTCCAGGGAGTGAACCAGCAGAATGGAAGACCTCTCTTTCTCTCTCTGCCTCTTCCTTTCAAATAAATAAATCTTTAAAAAAAAACAAAAACAAAAACAAAACAAAACAAAAAAACAAAAACTTGAAGCTCATTAATTTAAAAATAGTCCCAGACATTAAAGTCTGAAATTTTATTCTGAAAACTTACCTTTTTTTTTTTTAAGATTTATTTGAAGGAGTTAGAAAGAGGGAGAGACAAAGATTTTCTATCCACTGGTTCACTCTCCAGATGGCTGTTAGAACCAGGGCTGGGCCAGGCTGAAGCCAGGAGCTTCTTCCAGGTCTCCCAAATGAGTGACAGGCCCAAGCACTTGGGCCATCTTCTGCTGCATTTCCTAAGCGATTACTGGATCAGAAGTGAAACAGCTTTTTCTATATATGGGTGAAATGGTCATTTTCCCATTCAATTGTTTATGCCATTGTCTGTATTCTCACTAAACTAGGATCTTTTTTGCTTTTTACTAGTTAAACTTCTTATTTGTTGATGTATTAAGCCATTTTACTATAAAGTAATTTTAAACTATGGTATCTCAAAAACAAAAATATGACAGGGAGAAGCAGAGAAAGGAGGAAGGGAATATCATTATGTACTTAGAGTTGTATTTACAAATCACATTGAGTCTGTTAAAAATTCATTAAAAAAAAAAAAAGAGCAGCCAGGACTTGAACCGATGCCCATATGAGGTGCTGTCATTGTAGGTGTCAGCTTTACCCACTGCACCATAGTGCTGGCCCCCTGAATGACTCAGCTTTTAGAAATTATCTCACAAATGGGACTTTGGGAAACAAATTGACAACTGTACCTGACAGAGTGACATATAGAACATCTAAATGTATCTTGCATTTGCTGTTACTCATCTTAACAAAAATATATTTAAGACTCAGAAACTGTAATAGTATGTAGCAGAAAATACTCTAGAGTGTTTAAAGTGACTTATATGCAAAAGTTTATGTTGTTCACCTTATACTTTGACCTCTTAAAATCAAGCTGATGAACAATTAATCCAATATACCTGTTTTCTTTTGTTATAATGGATAATTGATTTTGACATTACATAATAAAAAGCAAAGAAAGATCTTTTATATCTTCTTAAATATTTTAAAACAGATAAGATAGTTACTTTTTAAAAACCAAGAACCCCAAATTAAAAAATTTGAGCCCTTAAGACCCAGAAAAATATATATTCAGTTTTGTTTTGTTTCTTGTATTTTCCAGTTTTCAGTCCAGGGCTTCTCCAAATAATTTCATCACTAAGAGTGATGAATTTGAATAACTTCAAATAGTATAAATCATGTGTTTTAACTTGTGCCAAGTGTTTATGTTGGAAATTTGTTCTTTGAGCATGCCAGCCTTAGCAAACCTGACGTATATAAAGACTTCAACACACACCAGCAAGAGATACTGAAACCTAGGAAGGTACGAGTTAAGTCCCATGGAAAATCCACCTACTTGGTAACTCGGCCACATATCAAGTATTGACAGTGTTTCCATTTTCTATTTCTAATAAGAGAAAAAATATTTTACATTCTAGATAATGAGTACATATGTACACATGATTGTTCAATCTTTAAATTTTTTTGTTTTTTATATAGACAAGTGAACTTTAAGTGAAACTAGTTGAATAAGAGATATTAAAGCTGTTTATGTTCTAGCAGTATTCCTTTCTGACCGTGCTGAGTCATTAACTGTGGTAGAACTAATAGCTACAGTACTGCAGAGGGCACTGTCGCTAAAAGTCAGTTTTGGTTGTTATATAAAATGTTTTACATAACTCCTTTTAACCAAATAAGCATACTGCTTGTATTTTTATTTACATCAGAAAGAATTAATTAATCCTAGATTCTAACAAAAGTAAGAAAATGTGGAACAATTTTAGTTTGTACCTACTGACAGTTTCATTGCTTGAAACATATATGCATATTATTGAAACCAAAATCTCCCCCTAAAGTCTCCAAGAAAAAGAAAGATGGCATTCAATGTACTTGGGAAAGCCTGCAAGCACAGTACCAAAAGTACTGTCAGTGTCTCTTAATTTTTGTGGATACAGGAAGAAATTTATGAGAGCTTCATTAACTGAGTGCGTTCTTCATAGATTTTTGGCCCAGGTTCTACAAATGGACTTTAGGGTATTAACATCCTATAATTGTACATAAACTTTAAAAAATATTTGGTGTGTGTGTGTATATATATAACATATATATTTATACTATATATTATATATAATTTTTATATATTTATGAAAATTATATATGTATATATAATATACATAACATATATATATACACACACATATAATGTGCATTTTTATGGGGAAAGCGTCCTTAACTTTTAATAGGTCACAAAGGAGGTCATAAACTTTAAAAAAGGTTAGAGGATGGAGAGTGAAAAGAGACCAAGAACATTTGGCCTGTTTTGTGAATAAAACAGCAGTCATTTAGGTGTGTGCATAGTTATTATATTTGGATAGGGCTGGTGTGGTGAATGCCTTGCTCAGATTAGATACTCAGTATTTTGTTATGAAGGAACAAATTTGGAAAGTTGAAAGACTTTGCTTCAGAGTCATGGCATAGAAGTGATAAAATTAATTGGAAAATTTTAATGAGTTTATTGCCAATCCCAGATGATCCTGTTTTATATTCAAATCTAAGAAGTCTTCATTGATAAAGATAAAGGGATTAAATCTCAGAGGGGGAACATGATTGGTTTAAGATGGTGCTTCTTGATTGAAAAGTAAGCCCTAGGGCCTTACTGTGTACATTACATATAATTTGTTTGCTTATTTCCTATGTACATAGATGGCCCTAGCTATGTACGTTGTTGCAAGACTTGGAGTAAAGTCACCAGAAACACTTTCTGTAGAGCTTAATTCTCATCCTGGGTTGTGAAAGGCTGGATTAGGAAGTTGGAGAGAAAGGAGTGTGTAAAAGAGAAATGATTGGAACATAGAGATAAGAATGTCCAAAATTTTCTGCTGGAGAAAAGCAACCTTGGAACTATCCTGACACTGATTGGACACATTGGCAGTTTTCATAGCTTGCATGATATTGGGCTCATTGTTTCTAAGACACCTGAACTTTCTCTGGAAGGTGTCAGATAAGCATAGGATTATCTTGAGTTCCAGCAACCTATTTATGAGTTTCCATACTTAACTGGTCACTTAGATCTGTCAGAAAGGTCTATCTGACTTTTACTAGAATCATTTCAAAAGTTAAATGTTTTTACTGGATTAACAGCAGGGACTCTAGTATTTTGAATTTTAGTTCATTTTTAAATATTGTCCCTTTTAGTTCCATTATGCTCTGATCATCTCCATAACATTGTTTAATAATCCAAAGCACTTGTTCCTTTATAACTGAACTATTCTGAATCATAATCTGTAAATATTAATGTTGCCACTATTCAAGAAAAAAAAAGAATGTCCAAAACTGTTAGATAGATTTATAATTAAAACAGAGACTTTAAATAGTGAGTGATACAAGATGAAGCAGGAGAATGTAGGTAAGGTATTCTTAGTAACTGTTTAAATGTAATTTTGGAATAGAATGGATACATACTATTTTTGAAGATGGGTTGTTAAATATAGCACTTATGGTTATTAAAATATGGCCAAAGAAATATGTAAATTATACAAGTAGATATTTATTTAAAATATGTTCAATGTTAACTTTACCTTCTCTCAGAGATTCTAAGCCCAATAGTTGAGACATTCTAGGTTAGGTTACTAACATTATGAAAAATATTATTAAGTTGGAAAACACATAGACGAATATACTAGCCTTTACAGTTTTGTTTGCTTTTATAGGACTTAAGGAAAGCTGGTTTGCTGATTTTTGCTAATAAGCAAGATGTTAAAGAATGCATGACTGTAGCAGAAATCTCTCAGTTTTTGAAGCTGACTTCTATCAAAGATCACCAGTGGCATATCCAGGCCTGCTGTGCTCTTACTGGAGAGGGGTAAGAAGTCTTTCTCTCAGATGACGTGTATTTAGTTTAGAAGCATGTATGTTCACTTAAAATCAATTCAAAACATTGCAAGGAAGAGATGTGAGACACAATTCATGTCTACAGTTGGAGACTTTTTAGGTTCGTTATGTAAATAGTAACAAACAATATAAACATCACACACATAAACATACTGAACTAGTGCATATAAGCATATAGATGATGTGGTAATGGGATGTCTTTAACAGCTGGAGAAGTCAGGAAATAATTCTTGTAAACACTTGCTGAGCATGTCCTATGTCTGGAGTGTTTTCCATACAGTGTCTCCTCATTACAGGCCTACAGACTGATGGTGTTTAATTGATGTTTTATTCATAATCTGAAATAGGAGAGGATTCATGTGTGAGACTAGGTTGGGGTACTTACTGTTGCCTAAAATGTCAAGGAGTTGTTTCACTTTAAAAAATAAAAAAGAGTTGATGAAATTAGAGAAAGGGTTCTTGGTTCTGGATGAGAGGTACTGCAAGAGACATGGGTGTCTATAGGAGAATTTTCCATGTTTTGGTGCCCAGAAGTGAAAGCATTTTAAGAAGGAGGTGGTGGACAGCATTGTCATATAAGGTCTGGCACACCGAGGATGGAGGGAGAGAGTGCCATTGAATTTAACAATAAATGAATAAATTAAAAAGGAAGTGGATATTAGGAAACAAATAGCTATAAACTCATACATGTGACAGGAGAAGGAACAAGAAATGAAATAGCAGGCATTAAATTATCAAGCTAAAACGAAGAGCAAACTAAAACATTTTGTTGTTTTGGCAGATCTGTATATTTAAAAGCAGGGAAAAAAAATCAAAGATGAGAGTATAAATTTTGAATGAGGTTCAGAGGCATGGGGCATTGATAGACAAATTAGCTGAAGTGGAAGAAATTCTTTTCTGTTGGAGTCGGTGATGAAGGGTGAAGCCATATTCAGTTAGTGAAGCCAGATTTTAGTGAAATAAAAGGCATACTTACAGACTTTTGAAAGGTCATAATTAGAATCTGAGTAGAAATGTGTTGTATGTTTGTCAAATTATTATATGTTGAGATACAGGTAATTCAGAAAGTTCATGGAAAGTAGAATAAGTTTAATTTTGATGCAAAATGTTTTGAAATCCCCATGTAGTTTTTTTGTAATATGAATTTTTTCATGAACTTTTGGATTTCAAAAAATTTTTGCACTGAAATACATATTTTAGTTCCATTTTCCTCAAACTGTTTGAAGTACTCCAGTTATAGCTCTTGGTCTATCAAGCAAAAGCATTAATTATAATGTTAAATTTGGAAATAAAGACAGTCATCTAGGAATGACCTAAGATTTATTTTGAATACTTTGATAATTGAGTTGTTGTGTGGAAAATGTGTCAAGGATTAGTATAGGTATGAACTCAGTTTTTATTTTAGAAAGAGGAAAATTAAATTTCATTTTCAAAAGAAGAAAGGAATAGATTTTGGTATCTTATCAACTGTTGGTTCATATGGGCCTGTGGAGCAGTTAGCAAGTAAAATGTTTGGTTTGGGGGGAAGCGTTCTTTTTCCTTCTGCGGGGTAACTTCCTTGGTCTAAATTCTTGGATTTACTGTTGATACTTAACTGTTAATTTATTGGATTAGAGATCACAAACTTTGGAGCATGACCTCATGTTTGACTCCTGCTTCTGCCATTTGCTAATCTTGCCATGCCTGGGTTTTCTCTGTAACATAGGAATGATTCTGATTTCAGTATTGTAAGGATTAGTTATGACAATGATGTTGGGGCTGGCACTGTGGCATAGTAGGTAAAGCCGCTACCTGCAGTGTCCGCATCCCATATGAGCACTGGCTGTAGTCCATGCTGCTCCTCTTCCGATCCAGCTCTCTGCTATGGCCTAGGAAAGCAGAAGATGGCCCAAGTCCTTGAGCCCCTGTACCCACATGGGAGACCAGGAAGAAGCTGCTGGCTCCTGGCTTCGGATCAGCCCAGCTCTGGCCGTTGCAGCCATTTGGGGGAGCGAACCAGCAGATGGAAGGTCTCTCTCTTGCTCTGCTTCTTTCAAATAAATAAAATCTAAAAAACAAAGCAAACAAAAGACAGTGATATTAAGTGTTTAGTGTAGTTTCTAGGTTGTTATTAGGTTGGTATTCTTTTAACAAATAATATATTCACCTATTGTTTTTCTCATTTTAAACTGTTTCCTGTCACTAGTTTACAGTAAAGGGATCTAGTTACAGGAGAAAACTATGACCTGGCCACTTCAAAATGACCGTTTATTTACCTGTTGCCATTTGTTTTTTCTATATCTGTCTGCAGAAGTTCATCATAGATAGTAGTTAACACTTAATAAGTGCTGCTTTTTGTTGTAATGTGTACAACTATTTCCCTCTTGCTAAACATTTCACGTATTTTACTACAATGACAGCCCTTTTTAAAATTTTGGATTCTTTTCAATTTTATTGAGATTTTATTGCCTTCAAATTTTTTACAGACTTATATAATGCGTTATACATATACTTTTTTTAGCATTCTACTTTATATTTAGTTTAATTTTCTGCCATTTTTATTTATATCATGAGCATTTTATCATATAAAATAATTTTGAAAGTTCTTAATCTTATGAATGCCCCATAATTTAATTTTTTTCTATTTCTATTTCTATTTAAAATACTTTAAAATTTAAAATACTTTTAAAGTATTTAAAATACTTTAAATAGAAATGAGCAGTCTCATACGTAAATTTGTTCATTGCTGACTTTCTGTAGGATACATTTCTAGAAGTAGAAAAAGGAGTGCAGAGTATTTCTGTTTTAAATATTTTAATACATATTGCAGTATTGCTTTCTGTGGGCATTTGTTGTGTAATTATTATTGAGCTGCTTTTGTGTGTCAGCCTGTGTTCTAGCCACCTTTCTAAGCATAGAGGTTGTGTTTATGAGAGTGTGGTTTCATGGCAACAGCCCAGCATTGAAAGTATTACTGATTTTTTTTTTCATCTTTGTTGTTTAGATAAATGAAAAACGGTACCATCCTTTAATTTACTGTCCATAGTTTCTTAGTTCATAATTTAATCAGTTGATTTTGTTTTCTTTAGATTATGTCAAGGACTTGAATGGATGATGTCCCGACTTAAGATTAGATGATCTCTACTGACCTCGTCTTACAGACTTTGTGTAAACAGTGTGCTGGACTTTACCTGAAAGCTGCAAAATTTAATGGTTTAGATATATTTATAATAAACTGATTTAAACATTTTCTATAAGAAGAAAAATTCAGACCACTTGTTTGAAAACAAAGATGAAGTCTCACTTTCCAATTTACTTTCTCATTATTCCTTCCAAAGTAAGTTATGAAAGCTGTGATTGACATTTTTCTCATAATGAATGCTCTCAGGACATTGTGTAGCCTGTGGTAAGTACAAAGGGAGAGGAATGCATTTTGAACTTCTAAGAGCTTTAGTATCAGTATAACCTCCCTTGTTGAATGTTGTCATTTTCTTGTTCCATTTAGTCAAACTACAAATCACAGATACTAGGTTTCCAATATTTTAAAATGTAACATTACTTATGAAAAGTATTTTGTGTATGTATTGTATATATACCTCAAGTCAAGTTAATGGCTTTGGTTTATGTGCTAAAGAAAAGCAAGTAACACAAAAATTAATAATATTCTTGGTTATAACCATAATGAGATGAGCACTGGCATTGGTGGTAAGTGCCATTTTGTATGTTTCCTCTTTGTTCTCTGTATTGTACTAACCAGCCCCCAAATCATGGAGCTACTCTTAAAAAAAAAAAAAGAAAAAGTCAAAAGCTTGATAACTACTGTATACCTCTTTTTTTGCCCAATCCCACATATGAAAACATATAATCCAAATAAGTGGAATATGTTATCAAATTCTTAGTTAAGGATTACTAATGGACAGAACTGTACAATGAACAGTCACCAGATTATTCTTTTTGTTGGTCTAAATTGCTAACCAAATTATTCATGAATCAGTCAATCATAAATTGCGATAAAAAAAACTATCAAGTTTTTTCTTATTAGTGTTAATTGAGTACTGGTAGGAAACAGGTCTATCCAGAGAAGTAATGCTCTATAAATATTATTAAATAATTCAGCTATAGTTTTTTTTAAGTATTAAATTATATTTGAAGCAGTTAAATGAATTTGAGAATTAAGAGTAAGGCATATTCAAGCAACAGCATTAATTAATTTGCAGATTTCTTATTTTAGGAATCAGAATAATTTGAGTTTGTTTTTGTAAGTTTTCTTGTATCTTCCACATAAATGCGTTATTTGACAATTATAAAATGTGATTGTTTTTGGAATGCTTTTAAGAATTTGGTTTAAAAATCGATTGACATGATGTGGTGTTTATACTAGGAAATAACTTGACCCAAAATACCTTCTGTGTTTGCTTAGGATATTTTCTTTGATATCTAAAAGTTGAGGTTTTTCTGTCTCAACTGTAAGCAAACATCCTAAATGTGTTAAAGCATATTCTCAGATACTCTATTTAAGTATCTTTCATGTCCTGAAAATCTGAAGATTAATCTGAACTGCCAGTTTTTAGATTTAGAATATTCAAGGAAAAAATAACTACTTTTAGAGCGATGTTTTCAATTTCATCTAGGTTTTGGTGAGGAATAATACTATGTACTATAAACATTGAGAAAACTTTGAAAGTTCTTTTCTACCAGATATGAAATATTCAATTTCTAATTCCAACTCAGATGTGAAAGATCAGTAGTTAACATTGGTTGTTTTGTGTTTTATAATATGTTCAAAATACAACTACAACATTTAGTATTTGTCAACATACTTTTACAAACATACATCATCAATAAGCTTTGTTCATATGTTCTTGTATTTTCTTAAATAATTATAATGAGTTACTTGTAAATTAAAAATTCCCTTAAAAACCCAAATCTATTTATCAGAGATAAGTATTCTGCAAAGTAGCCATGCAAAGCCTTTTGTACTTTTCGTTTTTTAATTCCAATAGTTCCTTGATTGCTGCCACATCAATTCAGCACAGTACCAGCACATTCCCGTGTCATCAAGGTGTTGGCTAAAATTTATTCTTAATTGAATGTTTAAAGCATGCCCTACATTTTTACATTTGGTTTAGTGTAATGAATTCTGAAATGACATCATGAGAAAGCACGGAAGCTTCTACCACATTGTAAAAAGATGATTTGGTTGCTTTCTACCCATCTGGGCTAAGTATTAAAAATGAGGTGGTGTCTATGTACTTGTTACATAAAACTGAAATTACAACTGGGAAAACAAGACTTCAATTCTTGGCTAAAGATGTCAGCATCATTTTCACAGTATTAACTTCCAGATAAGATAGAGAGCCTCATCAGTAGTTACATGGGCAATTTATGTATAATGTAAGTGGAATTAAAGGGCAGTACTTTTGGATTTTTAATATGCTACTTGGGAGTTCAAGCAAATATCTCATTTATAGTCACTATGTTCAGCTTTGAACAGAAACAAAGATTCATCTGTACATGTGGCTAGATTTAAATATCCTGTTTTGATATTAATTTTGAAAGTCATATAGCTTCTCTTGATATCTTGATAAAAGAAAATGTATGCTATAAGCATTTAATTATATTGAATTTTGTCATAATCACATTTATGAAGTATACTCACAATTATGTTAAGGTTCTTGTTTGAACTTTTCAGTTCTTTTTCTCTCCCAGCACATCTTAGCCCTCAAGATGGACAAAATAATAATAATGAAGGCAGGTGGCTTGGGGACAGAAGGAAGTGGGTATTCATTCTCTTATATGACATTTTGCCTTAAGAATAAAAATGTGCTTTGGCAGTGCTGGCTGGCATTTTTAGTGAAGGTAGTAATAGTGATTTTTAGAAGCGAAGGAAGAAGAGTTTGTTTGCTGGCCTTTTGAGAACTGCCTGGTGGGTAGTTCAGTGAGTTTCAGCACAGTACAGGGAACTTGAAGAAAGGCAGGAAGTTCTTGAGATGTTCTGTTCTTTTTCGTCTGAGTGTATAATATTAATTAAGATGCCTAGAAATGGGACTGTATTGTCTCTTCTCTTACAGGCACTTTACATTTCTTGCTGTGACTACAGCAGCCACATACAGTACAGACAACCTCAAAATCTGTTTATATTAATGTAAATAGAAAAACTGTAGGCAACTTTTAGTTTTCTCTGCAGGCATTTCAGGAATATAGTGGACTCTCCTTTGTATATAGAGGACAGCAGCGCATCATAGATTATCTTAATGGGCTTGTCTTCTCTGCAATTGCCCACTGGTATCCTGACATCCATCCCTTTTTCAAAGCTGAGTGAAGAGAAGAGGATTCCTCACATGACTGAACTTTGAACCTTTCCACTTTGCAAATAGTATAGAACTTCTTGCTTCAGGGTCAGCTCTCCCATATCTCAGCTGTTCCTAGCTCTCTTGTATCTTCATTCACCATCAGTGAAGATACATTATCTTGGTTCTGCAGATATTCTAAATATTACCTATAATCATTGTGCCCCAAACCACTAGTTTCTAAGTGGCTTCTCTAGTTTCTTGCTGTCCTCCCACAAGAGTGGCTTGATTAACTGATTTGGACCTTGCTGGTGATAAAGCTTTGTCAGAGTTGAGTCCATTAGAACAGCGTACAGTGCACACAGCACATAGATGCCTGCAGTAAAATCCTTTAAGTTACACTGTATTTAACATTTTAATGCTTCTTAATTTTAACTTCATATACTGAATAGATTTGGAAAGATAAGACTCTGCCAGCTCCTTGAGTTATTATTTAGACATGGAGGGTATGTTATATATGGATTAGCTTCCAGTTACTGAGGGTGATTATGCTTTGGAGAATACCAGTTCAGCCAGTTTGAGTTGGAAAAAATGCCAAACCAAATTCATATGTAGTGTTTTACCTAAAGATATTCTTCAAACCATGCCCACATTCCATTATTTTCCTCATCTTTACTTAAAAAAACAAAGATAAATGTTAGATATCTAAAGAAATTTCTAATGGAAAGCCTATCTTTACAATTCTATTAAAATGTGCTTTAAGACATGCATTGACTATGTAGATGCAGATATAATATACAAAATAAACCTTTACAGATCCACTTATACAAAAAAAACTGTATTATGATCCCTCAAGGAATGTATGGTTGGTTAAGACCTTGATAGTGGAGTGGAGTAAAGGAAAGAAAGCTAGAATTTAGAGCTTTGAATACTTCTATTTGATCCTAAGAACACATGGAATTGTGATGAAATGTAACAGAATACAGTTGGATTAGTTATGTAATAATTCTTATTACTTGTCTAGCCATTGTGTTTTGTTCTAAAAACTAAACTTTAAATCTGTATGGTATTACCTGGTAGGTCTCTGTTCTTTAGTTTAAAAAGAAGAAGAAAAAGAAAATCCCACAGTCTGTACTCAAGAAGTGCCTAAAACTGATTTGTGTTGATTTTTAAGTCCATCTAATAAATTATATCTGTTTTCTATGGTATTGTATGTTCTTGTCTTACTGATGTCACAGTCCTGAGGGTTTCTAAGTCACAATTTGTGCTTTATTTGGATAAAAAGCCTTTACATGAAAGACACCCACCCAAACCTCAACAAACCATAGTGTAAGGAAGCACAAGCGAAACAGCTGAAATGTTTTGTGACACTGGTATTAGTTAAGGCAGACTAGGAAACTGAACTCTATTCCTGTTTTGTTTTTCAAACAGTTTTAACAAGAGAGTATGCTGTATATTTGGAAGTCTTAGTAAAAGTTTATTGCTTACTTAAGAGTGGCTTCTTAATTCTCAGTGGTTAGAATCCTAAGTGTCATCATTTAAATCTTGAGCCATTTTATTTGTGTGTATATCCACCAAAATCCCGCCTTTGGTTTGACTCCATTTACAGACCAAAATATTTAGTAGAATCTTACTACATCTCTTCTATATTCTTCCAATTAAAAAAAATTGAACAGTATGACTGTAAATTTCTGGGGTAAAGCTTCATGATGTTTTCAGTGATGCGCAATCACATAACAACACATTGTAAATCATCTGCATGCAAAGTGAAACATGTATCTGATTTTAACTTATTCTAATGACGTCCCTTCTCCCAAACTGACTGATGCCTGCCAGAGTTCCTCTATTTTTGCTTGAAACTAGTCCTTTGAGGTTGGAGTAGTCTGTTTTTCTATTATGCCCCTCTGTGGTTTCATCAGATGAGGTGATACCTGCAAAGCACTTTTGAAGATGTTTTTTAGGTTAACGTCCAGGATATGAAATTGATGAGGCAGCTATGTCTAATTGAGGGCTCATTTAGTTGCTTGAGATGAGAAAAATGTATGCTAATAATTTTTATTTATGTATAAGATATATTTTACTAATAATACTGATTTTAAAAGACGTTCTTTTTGTAGATAATCTTCCTTACCAGGTTTTCCTGAGGAAGCCTAGCTAAAGATGTGTTAAAACTAATCTGTTTGTGAACAACCTCTCCTAACCCCCAAATTGAGCTGTGTGTGTTCTCTAACAAATTAGAATACCTTTTGAAAAATTTTAGGTTTGTGGGAATTTCCAGTACTTTAAAAGATTTCACTGAATCTTTGCATGCAATAGGAGGAGGAAATTTTGTCTTTCCTCATTATTTTATAAATATCTTTATAAGCTAGGGAAGTTCCATCTATAAGGAATATTCTAGGAAGTAAGGATCTTTAAGTGCTTGGGTACTTTTGTATTTCCTCAATGCTGATGAGTTAGACATTTAGGGTAATAATACTTCCGAGCCTTCTTGAGAAGACATACTGAGGAAGGATAGGA